TGTACCCTGTGGCCTTTTTGGAGCATTATTCACTGTAACAATTCTATCCATTTTTATAGCATGGGTAAATAGCCTTATTATATGAGCTCAATAGTTATTTATCCTTTAGGATCCCATATATATTTTATAGATACGACCCAAATGAACAGAATATCAATAACTACGAGTGTTTTCTCTCAAACCTCCCAGTTTTTGTTAGACCACATTTTGTAAGAGCGTGAGATCGTTTAGGATTTCTTGAGATGATTAGGATTTCTTGACACAATTAGGATTTTACCTTCCAAGTAGAATAAGGGTTTCAAAGTTTCGGTCATCGCCTTTGGGGTGGGTGGCTAGTTGTTAACACTACCCACCCTGGGAGGAGCATTGCCATCCAAAAAGCAAGCTCATCATTACAAACTGTTGGAATCTGTCAGACATGAGCTTCATGCATTGCCGATGAGCCACCGGTTTTGAATTCCGTTACTAGTACGCTTGTCCTCTTTTTCCTTTTCACTCATATACTTTGTCGATAACACCTGTAATGATGTTCGAAGTAATTCCAATAATATAAAAGATCACAGATCATAAGTCAAATGGTTGAAATTACTATGAATGGATTATAATGGTTCGCATTTACACACAGAGCATTATGAATGACCATGTGACTGATTCACTCATTTTTCTGGTAATAAATTTTGACAATTTTTCTAAGAGAAATCAATACATTACGCACAAAATTGCTAATTTTAAAAGACTAAGAACTTGGTTCAGAAATGTAAATTACCTCAAACATGAAGAATCATTTTATATATTTAGCCTTTATTTTTTTGGAAGTTCTGGTGCCCAAATTCTGTATTAATGTTACTCTGATCCTGAAGTTAAAAGGATTGACCAGTACTTGTCTATATCTCAATTTAAGTTTTCTGTTTGATGTACTACTGACTGATGCAACCTCCTTCCTTCATCCTCCACAAAATTCAGTTTCCTTTTGATGTGCCCATGAGTATGTACATGAGCCAGATAAGGTTAACTACCTGCAGAGAATACAGTGGATTTCACGCTTGTAGATGATTGTGATTTCTAATCTTATTCCTGTTTCTCCTCAGTGACACATTAACATTGCAGCCTATAGTTGTTTAATTAAGTGGATTATACTTTCAGATTAATCTTGGGATCTATACACAAGATGATAAGAAAGAATTTTCACTTTTGGTGGATCGTGCTGTTGGGGGGTCCAGCCTAGTTGATGGGCAATTGGAGTTGATGCTTCACAGGTGCATAGTTATATTTCCAAAGAAATAGTTGTTCCCTTTTGCTCCTATTTACACGTGCTAAGAGCTGCCGGAGGTTTTCCTATGTRATTTATATTTTACTTGGTTGATATAGTTTCAACTTACAACATAGCTAATTGATAGTGGGAAATTCTTTCTTTATGCAAAAATTATTTGTTGGACCTAATTTAGATTCTTTTAAACATTCAGGAGGCTACTACTAGATGATTCCAGAGGTGTTGAAGAGGCTTTAAATGAAACAGTTTGTGTCAATGACGATTGCAGAGGACTGACCGTAAGAACTTGCACCTAACTCTTTAAAATTTTGGCACCTAGACCATTTTTTCTTTATCCTATATCATTGAATTGAATCTGAGGTTGAGGTCTGTAGTTGATGTATGGCTCAACTTTAAATTTGCTTGCCCCATATATCGTCTAATTGAAAATGGTAGCTTAGCTTATTTGAGTCATTGGAATTAATGTGGTTGATCAGGCTGATTAAATTTTTGCGATAATCGAACTATTTAATTGCTTCTTACAGTTTTTTTTTTTTTTAAGGGAATAAATTGCATAAGATATTCATATTCTCACCAAATTCATATTTTTGCTTTAATCTTGTCTGTAAAACGTTTGGTTTCTTTGATGGACCTTTTTACTCAGATTTTGATGACGTCATTAAATTTTTATGATTTTTCCTTGTAATGGTGATAGATTACCGTGTACTTCTTTTTATTTCCTATCCCGTCCCTTCAACTGATGCAGAGGATTTTGGATTAAGCCAAGTTCATGGCCAGCAAGGGACAAACCTCCCAAGACTGAAGGCTATAAAAAAGTGGACCTAATTAATCAATTCTAAAATGTTGATTGACAAGTTAAAAAAATAATTAACTCGAAACTAACAACTTGATTAAATTAATTAGGTAACTCATAACAAACTAATATACTTGTTCTTTTTCTCACATTACTCGGTATCTCTCCATGTCATATCTTCTTCTTTTATTCATTTTGTCTTTGTTTTGTCCACTCTGCTTTGTTGTCGTGCTCCACTTTTAGCATTTACATTTTACATTATGCTATGCAGATTCAAGGAAGATTATATTATAGAATTGACCCGTTAGGAGAGGGTGCAAAATGGCGTCGTTCTTTTGGTCAGGAGATTTTTTCTCCACTTCTCCTGGCCTTTGCTGAACAGGTGAATATTGGAGGAAGGGAAAAGGAGAAGTTATAACATTATTAGATTATCCTTACATGGCAATTAACCTGCAGGATGGAGATGAATGGGCAAAATCTCATAAACTTACTTTTTCCGGAATTGATTCCACGTACAGTTTACCGAAAAATGTTGCTGTTATAACTTTACAGGTAATTACGACTTTTTGCTTGGTTTAGTCTCTTGCTTCTCTTGCTGCATCGTTAACTTGTAGGACTGCTGAACTTCAACACCCATCTTCAGAAACGTTTCTTCAGTTTCCTGGAATTCAACTTGTTGCTTTCATTCTTTTTCCATCTAAAATTGATTTGATTATTGCTCTAATTTTGTACAGGAACTTCATAAGGGAAACATTCTGCTTCGATTGGCTCATTTGTATGAGGTGCTAATCTATCATGCACAGCAAGTAGTTTCGCTTTTTAGTGGTTAAATACTGGCTATAAGTTTTGCTTGAGCGACTTTATTATAAACTTGATTGGCTATATTTTTCCTGTTCCCTTCCAAAGGACATGCAAATAATATTTTGTATATTAATAATTCTCAATGGCTCTAGTTCCTCTTGATTTTCTGGATGAAATTTTAGAAATAAAATGGTTGGGGCAGAAACTGGGAAAATAGTTTTTCAGTTATAGTTCTTCTCTCCCATCCTTCCCAACTTAGCCAGTGGTAAAACCTTTGCATCTAGATTATGATATTGGGTTTACAAAAATTACACTCCAACTTGGAATTTTATTTATACTTTCGACAGTATCCTATGCCACTCTTATGAGAAAGAATGTCGGTACTCGCAATTCCTAGCTTTTTTATTTGTTATTTGGTCTGCAGAGTTTAAGAACACCTTCTGTATGTTTCGGTCGTCGTTAAAAGTACTAATATAACTCTGTTTGTTTCTGTTGGCTTATGAAAATGGCAAAGACTGGAGAGGAAAAGGAATATTCTGTGATGGCAAGAGTAGAACTAAAGAAGCTATTTCCAGGAAAGGAGGTATTGAATTATGAATAGACAGTGTAGAAACTAGTTGCTGCTGCCTCTTTCTCTTGGATTAATCATTTTATTTGGCTCATTTCAGATGAATAAGATAACAGAAATGAACTTGTCTGCAAATCAAAAAAGGACAGATATGGAGAAGAAAAGAAAGGTTTGGAAGGTAGAAAATGGTGGCTCGAATGAAGAATCTAAAGTTAAGAGAGGAGGAGCTGTAGATCCTAGAAAGTTAGTGGTGGAACTCTCTCCCATGGAAATCCGAACCTTTATCATTGAGTTGGAGGATGAGAAGCTCAACCGCAAACTGCTTTTTGATGCCTAACATTTTCAAGTAACTTCTCTCTCTGGTCTCCTTTTGAGTTCTTGTTTTTCATTTTCTGATAACCTTCTTTGTATGCGAGACCTCAATTTTATCACCAGGGAATGTGGAATTGCAAGTTTAGGAAGTTCCTGTGCATTCCAGTCTTCTATTTTAGAGTTTATTTGATAAATATGTTCGGGGTTTTATCAATATTTCTACGTGTCCATGAATTCAATGTCAAATGCAAGAAGTGAATCGACAAGATGTAAGAAAATATCATTAATATAGATATAATATTATTAATAATAAGAACGGTGAAATGTTGATTAGTTAAATGAATAAAATTAGTGGTGTAGACGAGAAATTTTTTTTTTTTTTTATTCTGTTATTTTTAATGTCATTCTAATTTCTGTTTTCCAATAAGCGCTTTTTTAAAATTAAATTTTTATATTTTGTATGAACACATTAAAATCTTTCACATGGATCTTTTTATTATTTAATTTCTTATTTATTATACTGTAATTTTCATTTTTTTCCAATAATTACGAAAAACGTGAATGGCCACTAGCAGTAGTAAGGCACTGTATTACAAGGATGCACACAAATCGATTGGTGTCATTTATAGTGCAAATCGATGCCAAAAACTGAATGCTTATTAGGCAATTTTCTATTTGTTTCGTAAATCAAACTGTGTAATGACTGAAAACTACTTGGGAGAAGATCCAATTTTAAAAATAATACCATCTCCTCTCCATTAGAAAAAATGGAAAATAACAAAATACAATGAGTCGATCAGTGTTAATGATGTTGGCTGTTATGGAAAATGACAGATTACAATGAGTGGATCAGTGTTAATTACGTGACGGTTTGTACTAGCCAACCCTAGCCACCAATGTACGAGAGTTGTAACAATTAACCTATTGCTACTTTTACTATTTAATCTAAAAAATATTGAAGACAAATTTGAAAAATAGTAATGATGTCTCCTTTTAAAACCTTTATTTAAGTGGTAATTAACGTGATTGCCATGCAAATTTAGAATATGTACATTATTGTTTTAAGGTTTAAATCTTTCACTTTTAGCTTCTAATTTTACATTTGATCCACATACTTCTAAAATGTATGTTTTGGTATATGTAATATTAAAAAGTGACCACTTAATTTTTATTTATAAAATTGTAAGGCAATTGTATACCCAATGAAACTCTTTAATACAAAATTAATAACTATATTTTATTTGCACCAAAACAGACATTTTTAAAAATATAGGAACAAAAATAAAATCCAGACACCAAAATGGATCAAAGTCAACCAAAATGATATTTAGACATTTTTTTAATTAAAATTGAAGCTTAGCCTCCCTCTTCAAGAAGAAAAGCTCCATACAGCCTTTAGCCTGGTAAAACATTGCTCGTTGCTAGGTCATTGCCACTGTATCTTTGCCTTGGCCAAATATGGCTTGTTCTTTGTCAGACCTAGAACAAGGAGCGCTTCCTCATTCCAAATATGGATAACGGTTCCCTTGCGAGGGCAAGGGCGGGCAAATAGTGAGGAGACAAGCAACTGACTACATACATCAACATCGACGGAGGGGAGAAAATGAGGAGAGAGGAAGAGAAGATGAGAAGAGAAGAGATCAAATACAATTATTAGACCAGGAGTGGGGGATTCAAATTAACTCATGAAAACGAGCTAATCAAATTAATATGAGAAAGCTAATCAAATTAATATGAAATAATAGCAACACCTTAAGTTTAGTCAACTATTGATTAAAAAAAAAGCTCAATAATCATTGACCCCTACTCCAAATTTCATAGACCAAAAGTGCTAAAAATAAATTTTTTTAATTTCAACTCAATGCCCACACCTAACCATATAAACACCAACCACCCACGAAATTGCTCAACATAATCCCAAAAACTAACAGTCTAGCCTAAGAGATTCCAAACCTAGCCACAAATCTCAACAAAAGTAGCAACTTAACTCACATTCTATTAATTTAACCACTTATTCTAGATAATAAAATTTAAACTTTTAAAATTACATCAAACTTAGATGCAAAGAAAAAAAGTTTGTTCCCCACAAAAGGACCACTCAGCCTTACAATAATGAAATCAAAGAAAACAAAAAGCAGCAGGATAGTAAATAAATTCCTTGGATAATCATTATAGCTTCCCCCTACTAACCAAAGACAATTCACAGCAGTTCCATTTTATTTTTCTAATCTGAAACGTTTGACATTATAGGAACTAACATTTTCAAATGTCAAAAGTATTCAAAATACAGCTTAGTAACCTTGTTTTATCCAATTTATGAACTTCGTTACTTAATCCTTAAAATTCCTATGAATTTCCATTGACATTGTCAAATTTCTTAACCTAGGATCTCCTCAAACATTATCTATCTGATATGCGAAAGAAAACCGCAACAAACATGAGCAAAATATCTATTAAAATACCCATTGAAGTGTGTAGATGTTCTCAATGGAAGAAAAAAAAAAGAATCAACAACAAGAAAGGAAGATATTATATTTGATTTTCTAAACTGTTATGTATTTCGTTTCGAACAAATGATACAGCAAAATTCAGCCAAAATTCCAAAATTTAAGAAAAGCAGAGAAATCTATCTATGATACTGAAAACATGGAGGATAAAAAGCTCAAAATGGACTTAGCACAGAAGCGACGAACCTATTTCTTGATGAAATCGTCAGGAACAACCTTAAGGAGTTTCTTCTGCTTAGACTTGGCAATCTTCTTGAGTGTCTTGGGATTAGTTATCTTCTGTAGCTTAGTTCCAGATCTCAAGATGTTCTCCTTCTTCTTCTTCTCCCTCTCCTCTCTCTTCTTTCTCTTCTCCACCTTGTTTAACCTAATCTGCTCCTTCAATTCCTCCTTGCGCTCCCTAAACGCCGCCTTAATCATCTTCTGCTTCTCCCTCTCCTCGAACGTAGTGCCTTTCCGGCTCACCTGCATGGCAGACGCCCTGTGCTTCCTCGGCTGCTTCCACTTCCGTCCCGAGACCTTTCCGGCGATAACGCCGTCGTAGGTAGGATTTCCGAATGTCGGTTTGTCGGGATTTTCCGACGAAGGAATCGCGGATCGCTTGGCCGGCGGCGGAAAGGATTCGTCGATCTCCATGGAGGCGTCGGCATTTTCAGAGTCGTTGATGTTGAGGCTGTTCTGAGCTTCTTCCCGTTCCCGTTTTCGCTTGTAGGTTTTTCCCCCGAATCCCTCGTCCAGGCACCGGAAGTCGATGGTGCACGCCATTGGAGAGATTTGAGAATTAGGGTTTCTGGTGGCGAAAATTAGGGCTTGAGAGTCATAAGAGTTTCCTTGAAGGCGCTATACATAATGGGCTGAAATCATTGGGCTCGCTTCAAAAATGGAAGAATACGGCCTTTTATCACAGATGTTGTGATGATAATATTATTAATTAGGAAAATATTTATTGATTCTTAAATTGATTTAAATATTTGTACTTCCAATTTTTGTTCAAGTCCACCGACAAGATTTATGTGATGGAACGATTGTGCGATAGTTTTTTTACCTACAAACAAGTCACTCTAAATCGGATTATCGATAGTACAATGAGACTATTCGTTAACTAGTGCTCATGTTTTCGAGAAAATTATTTTTAGAAAGCATGGTCGAAGAAAAGATTTTGGGAGATGTAGAAAGCATGTTTAAGGCTCAAAACAATATAAGATAAACTTTTTTTTTTTTTGAAAACTATAAACAATAGTTTTTGTAGCATATAATTCAATGTATGGAAGATGGTATATCTTCAAAAGGTCTATTTTGGACTTTTATTTTTTTCCACGTTAGAAAGGTTTCTTTAATCTCTTTATATATTTTTAAAGTAATTGTGTTTATCGTAATTTTGGTTCTTGTATTTTGGAAAATTCTCTGAAAAAACCTTTTAAAAATATAATAATTAAAATGAACAAAAGTTGAGTGTACGTTGCCCATCCATGGGTATACCATGAAGTTACAAAGGTTGTACCTGTAAATCAACCTCCTACGGCAAAATAGGCACAAGGAAAGAGCAATAGACCGGACCAACCTACAAAAACGAAACGGTCCCTCTGTAACCAGTCATCCATAATATCGAATAAATCATTTCCGTCTAAATCAAAATAAAATTTTAAAAAATATAGGTACCATAAAAAGTTGAAACCGAAATGAAAATAGTGTCTAAATACTTTTAAATACTAGTGTATCACCACGTGCAAATGTCCGTAATATTTTTTTTATTAAGTAATAAAAATATCACTATTTATTAGAAAAATATATCGAAAGTAACAAATTTTAAAAAAGTGTTTACAAATTGATAGAATTATATAACTCAATTTTGCTGGTAAAATAAAGTTGGAAGAAAATCCTATATTTTAGAAAAAGTATAAATTTTTGAAATTTAAACTAAATTAAAGCTCTCTTTTTATTTTTAATTGGTTAAATGCATATTTTTACTCTTTCAAGGAGTGATCTCGAGACTCACCCTTGATACATTCAAGTTAACCCCAGCCTGCATTTAAAAAATCAATCCCCTCTATTTGATTTTTCTTCTCCTTATTATATATTAATGTTATTTTGTGTTACAAGGTAACCTCAGCACGGTGTCTTGTCACTTGGTCTTTTATCCCTCTCCTCCCCATGATCTAAAAACCAGTTGAATGTCAATACCTACATTTATATCGATATGAAAGAGAAAGCATACTAAATAAGTCGATATTATTATAACTGTCAGTTTATATGTGAGACAATCTCTCGTATTTAGGATTCATTTTATTACCTCTCTCTTGTTGTTTGAGTTAAAAGTCAATCGAATATCTATATCTATATGGATATGAACAAACTTGTGTATGTATGTATATGTGACATTAAATAGAAAAAGAAAACAATTAAAAAATCATATCACCACGATCTTCTTCTACCCCGCCATATTTTTATGATTGAAAGCTTATATGTGTGGGACAACCATCGTAGCAGTGTAAATTTTACACGCAAGTGTGTTTTCTCTCGAGTAAGATTGCATGTGACTAATAATCAACATTATCATAAATTAGGATGGTTTGTGTCCAACTAGGGCCCTTTTATAATCGTTTTGTTTTTGGTTTTTTGTTTTGGATTTTTGAAAAACCAAGTTTTTTTTGATAACCAATTTAATTTTCTATTTCATATATTTATAACAATGTTTTTTTTTTTTACTAATTCTAAGTGAATTTTAAAATAAAATAGGGTTTAAACATGTATTTCTCTTTTTCCAAGCTGGTTTTCCTTCCCATGCTGAACTTTTTTTTTAATATTGGACATATTTCTCTCTGACAAATTTATTTTTCATTCTAATTTTTTTTTTCTAAATTCCTCCCTTTAAAAAATTTATCTTTCCCTCTCTAAAATTTTCATCTCTTATGTACTATTATTTATCTTTCCATCAAAAAATTTCTATCTCTATCTAAAATATCATTATCATTTTTCTTTTTAATATTGTCCCAAACTTTTTTACTTTTCAAATTTTACCTTTTATAACTTTTATTTATCTTTCTAATATATTTTTCTGGAGCAAAATATATCTCAAATTTTGTTGAAGACGTTAAACCCAATATATACAATGAGCTGAAAGCATTAGGCTCGCTTCAAAAATAGAAGAATTCGGGTTTTTTCCCCATTTTTTCGGGGTACACTGTCATATTAATTCAAAACTATCCTAAAATTACAGTAATGTCCAACATAATTATTTTGAGGATAGTTTTGTGGTAATTCTTCTTCTTTTCCCCCCCCCTCTCTCTCTCTCTCTCTCTCTCTCTCTCTCTCTCTCTCAATTACTTCAAAATTATTATTAGGATTGAATATTTCTTAAAATTACTTCTTCTTGTATTTTTATTTTTTTGAATTTTTACATATTCTAGATTTTTTCGTTTATATTTTTCAATTTTACATTTGATTTAGAATTTTTTAATTTAAGATTTTTTTTATAACTTTTCTGGACCTTTATGTAATTTTAGATTTTATTTACACGTTATTTTATCTATGGCCAACATTTTCCAATAATTTTTACCAACTTTTTTTCTTACGTGCATTTTTCCCTTTTGCAACAAAGTGCCGTCAAAGATGTTGGGTTCCTTGTATCTGTCGAATATCTCCTTTTTTTCTTTTTTGTTCATTTTTCAATTCTATATTTGATTTGATTTTTTTTTTTATGTTTTTCTTTTAATATTGAATTTGCATACTATTACATGATTTTTTTTCAACCTTACCTGTGATTTTAGATCTTTTTTTTTTTAATTTAAGATATTTTGATCAAGTTAGTACGTAAAGTATAAATTTTATTGCGTTTCAAAAATGGAAGAAGATGAACTTTTATCATGAATATTGTGATAATAATATTATTAATTAGTAAAATATTTATTTATCCTTAAATTGATTTAAGTTTTCTAGAAAGCATGTTGTGGGCCGAAAACAAATATAACAATAGCTTTACAACATATCATTCAAGATATGGAGGATGATATACCTCTAAAATGTCTATTTTAGTCATTTATTTTTTTGCCACTTTAAAAATGTTCCTTTGGTCTCTATTTTTAAAAAGTACTTGTGTTTGCCATAATTTTGGTTCTAGTATTTTGAAAAATTATCTTTCTTATCTCGTTTTTTAATCATGATTTTAACTGTGATCAAAATATTCACTTTTTAAAAGTACGAGACAAAAACAAATATTTTAGAAATTAGAAATATATGAATAAAAGTTGAGCGTACATAAATCAAAATCAACTTTTTAAAAATTATAGGTACTAAAACGAGCTGGAACCTCAAGTAAGGCCAAAATACTGTTTAAAATATTTCTAAATATTTAGAAATCTTATACTGTTTTATGATTCTTCTTCTTCCTTTTTCATTTTCCCCCTAGTTTATATTTATTTTTTACGTACTTTTTTTTATCGTAAAATTATTTACATATATATTTTTTTTAATTTTCGTTTTTTTTTTCCGCCTAACCAAACATTTTGAAAATCTTGAACTTTTATTTGTAATGGGTTAAATGCATTTTTTTTTTCAACAAGTGATCTAATGCACCATTAATACATTCAAGTTTAACCCCAGCCTACATCTAAAAGTTAAATCCCTATTTTTTTATTTTTCTTATCCTCGTTATAAATTAATGTTATTTTGTGTACTTATAATGTAACGTCGTCACGGTGTCTCTGTCACTTGGTCCCTTATTTCCCTCTCCTTCATCGTGATTTTAAAATTAATAATTGAACATCTAGATCTACATCTATATTGATATGATGGAGAAAATATATTAAAGTGGCCAATATTATTATGATTGAAAGTTTATATGTGAGACAAAAATTGTACTAGTCTAAATTATACACTCAAATGTCTCTCATCTCTCATAAATTTGCATGTGACCCATAATAATCAACGTTGTCATAAATTAGGATGGTTTGTGTCCGTCCAGGTCCCGTTTTTTATTTTTAAAAAATAAACTTATTTTATAACTAATTAAATTTTTTGTTTAGATAAGGTTTAAATACATATTTCTCTCTCTGAAAAGCTCATTTTTCTTAAATAAGGTTTAAAAACATATTTCTCTCTGTAAAACTAAGTATTTGATCTTCGAATGCTTAATTCTTTTTAATCTTTGACATATTTGTCTGTAACAAAATTCTTTTTCATTCTTTTTTTCTCCTAAATTTATCTCTTTAAAAAATTGATTTTTCTCCCCCTAAAATTTACTTCTCTAGGCTATTTGCTATTATTTCTTTGTCTCTCTAAAATTCTCATTTCTCTTGGCTACCTTCATGTGCAAGCCAGCCAAATTTTTCTTTCAAAATCACCTTTTATCACATCTTTATCTGTTCTAGATTCTCGATTTTAAAAATAATTCAATTCATTTTCCCTCTCTTTCTTTTAAATTATTTCAAAATTATTATTAGGTTTTTTTCCTTCAATTTTTACATAATCTAGATTTTTTCGTTCATATTTTTCAATTTTAGATTTGATTTAGATTTTTTATTTAAAATTTGTTTTTTAAATTTGGGACCTTATATGTAATTTGAAAATTTTTTTAAATATAAGATTTGTTCTTTGGATTTTTAATTTGAATTTATAATTCAATACGTGTATCATGCAATTTTTTTTTAAAATAGTTTGGTCATGGTGCACTGATTTTTGAATTTTTTTTAAAAAACAAATGACACAAATAATGTAGATTTGAAAGTATTTTTAAGAGTAGGGTAGTGAAATCGCAGCCATTGGATGTGATTTCAGGTAAATCGCATTTAATGACTGCAATTTTAGGCAAAATAGTTGTTTGCAAGCCGAAATC